ACTAAGTACAACTATAGAAGTCAAAGGTTATGTGGTTTTTACTAAAATTCCTGACAGCAAGACACATAGTTTGTCATTTCAGATGTATTTCAAAATACATTATGTCGAAAAAACGTTGCTTTGCTGCCGAAGTTTACTAAAAATTGTAGTTGGTGTCAAAAAAATCTCAAGCACTCCAAAAGAAATCGCTATATATTCGAAATCTGAAAGATTGTATCAATCATTGTATCAAATACTATTTTTCGAACCATAAAAATGTAAGTACCTAGTTGGCCAGTTTCTGTTGTAAAATTTATTTAATTGAAATAAACATGTTTTCAAAGACGAACAGTCCTAATATTGTTAAAGCAATTTGTCTAATTTAAATTAATTTTAGCAGATCTGTATGAAGAATACATTTTTGTTCTAGAACAAAAAAGTATTTCATTTAAGTCTTTCTGACAATTAAGGGACATAATTAAAATGTAAACTTTTTCTAATAATTTTCGAAAAATAAAACATTTAGTCATTTTGACTTGCTAAAGATATTAATTTTTTCATAGAGTAAACCTTTTTTACTTAAGGATATGTGGTTGAAAACTGGAAAGCTTTTTTTAATAATATGTATTTAAATCTGTATTAGTCCAAAATTTAATATCAAGGGAGACAGAGAGTGTTAAAGTAAACATTTTTTTACAGTTGTTATGCCTTTATTAAATTGGGTAACAAAAGGATTTTGGCAGTGCCATATTTAAAAATCATTTTTGTACTCTTGTACATATCCACTATACATCTTCGCCATAAAAAAATTGTTACAACTTTTTTAATCTAACACTGGGCAAAAATTCTTTAAAAATACAATAATTTGGACTACAGAAAAGTGTTTGTTATACTTTATGGAAACCTATTTCTTTCACCGTTTTCGATAATATATGTATTTCCATTTAGAACACACAAATTACTTTTTATCTTAAGTAATTTTTATCAAGTAAACTATGAAAGCAATGAAGTAAACACAAGTTTACGACTAAAACAAAATAATGATAAAATAGAATGTGCCAATTTGCCAAGTTACGGATTTGCAGTTAATTTTCTTTTAAAACACCGGGCAACATTTTGTGATACCTTCATGTTGACCACCACGTTCCCCTGACTTGAATCCCCTTCATTTTGGTTCTGTGGACGTATTAAATCAATGGTTTATGAAAATCTTATTAATATTTCAGCATTAATATTGTGGAAAAAGTTCACAATACATTGACCAGTTTTAAAAATGATTTTCCACTTTTTGTAATTCGACAATCGTTTTGTAAAAGAGTAAATCCATGATTGAACGAAATATTAACAGTACAATTTAATGTCTGTTCAGAAACAGAAGTCAAGAGGATTCAGGTCGGGAGACCGTGGTGGCCAAGGCATGTCACTTCCTCTACTTATTCGACGATTCATGTAGTTAAGAACATTCAATAATAGAAAAAAATTGTTGCGGGGTTGAAATTAATTGCAAAACTATAATAATTTGACAGGAACTGACTATCCTAATTCACTTGGGGACGCCCCTGGGCCGAATATTCGTCTAGAAATACCAGAACTAGTGTAAACAAGAATGATGTAATAGGGAAAAAGTCAAAAAATTCACACACAAATCACTACACCCGACCTACAGAACCTGTTTTGTTCGGTAGCTGAAGCTATTTTCATTAATTTAATGGAATTCTGCACGTCCGATAATTACAATTTCAAATGATATCCTATTTATCAGCATTTATTGACGTGTATAAGTCGTAATAACTCCAATTATTACAGCCAGTAATGAATTGAAATTTTTCGAAGCAAGCGGTCCTGCGTATAACATCACTCATTTAGGAATTCCTATACAACAGGTGATGGCATTCACATGAGTAGGAATGCTTCGATTTATTATAAATAAATTATTTCCCCACATAGGCTCCATTGTTACATTCACGTTTCGTGTTACAGCGGGCTTTTCACAGCGGAAAATGTCAGGTATTTCAATTTTTCTCCGTTAAGGCCATCTTTTTTTCATGCGATAAACCTTTGAAATTTGTGCAGGTTGTAAAATATCTTTAAGGAAGTGAAAGTTAAATGGATAATAATTATAAGGACGGAACTTTTAATAGGTGTAATGTCAATGGGAAAAAATCAAATTTTACACCTAGGCAAGTAAGAATCGATTCTAGGAAAGTTTGTGCCTATTTGTTTTTTTTTATATGAATTATTTAAATATTAAAAACATTGTTATATATATATTAAAAGTACCATAATTATTCAAATTTGAAAAGTTAACAATACGAAATTTTTCAATTCTATTTGTTCTTCCTGAAAACTATTATGATTCTCTATCTGCATTCCTGAAAGGTCTTGAGGTACCACAAGTTCTTATTGATGAAATATACTTTTTGAAATTTTAAGTATTCTGTAACTCTTTAGGGAATTTTTGCAAAATTGTTGATGCCAAGTAGTTGTATTGTATACTTACCGTGATTAGGTATAATAAAATGAAAAATCTATTATGCTTTACTTGTTTGGGTCTCAATTGCAAATACTTATGACAAATTTCATATCCGTTGCACTCTGATCCTACGGTAAATACCTACACGTTTCTTTTCGGTTTTTGTATCATGTAAAGTTGTAACCAAAATTTTCCTCGTTTCTTCTATATCTTTAACAGTTAAGCTGCACAATTCTGCATGCCAAGATACTCCATTTAAACCAATTATTAGTACTACTTTCATTAATAAAAACTTATCGTCTACAGCCTCTCTCAAACATATAGTAACGCTTTCCATAGTTAAAACTTTTGATTTCTTTGGTTCGTATGTATCATTTTGACATTTTAAAAAAGTAACTTTTTATATTGCGATATATCCATATTTTCGTTTATTTATAAAGTACTTTTCAACATGGAATATGTAGACTATAAGCTGGACGCCTTAAGAGATTTTACCTAAAGTAACTAAAGACTTAAAATATAATTATAAATATATAACTATAAATATAATGACACGCTCTTTCAAATGGCATGGTCAAAATTGGGGGTTGCTATTTAAAAAAATTGTCGATGACGTCATATCTCGAACAACGATGACGTCACAAATGTGGGTCGTATGTCGAAAAGTGCCTTTTTTAAAACAAAATCGACGTGCCAGGGGATTTTTTCGAAAACTTCTCAATTTAAAAAATAATGAATTTATTCGTTACTTTTCGAAAGCACTGTATAACATAGAATCAATTCGTCTCACAAAAATGCAATTTAACTGTTATTATATAAATAAACAAAGCAATGTCAGGTTACTAAGTTACGCAAATCCTACACAAGTACCTATACCATGAAATTTTTTAAATTTCTAATTTTATAATGCTTTTATATATATCACTATTTGCTTATAATTACTTACTAATACAAAATGAGAAAAAATAGTATAAACAAATCTCGTAAGAAAGGCAGTTTTACTAAAGTTGTTGTTTAATAAACTATTTCCTTTTGATGTATATATTTTTTAAAGGGCTATAACGTCGATTTTGTTTTATGTACAATTAAAGTGTATAATGAAATATAAAAGAATGTCAATAATATATTAACAACCCCTAGAATGCAATAAAAATTAAGTTTGTTTGTAAAATGTATTAATTGCATACCTACCTATGTGTTTAGGTTTGTCAAATAATTGTAATTGTACTACTAATATTATAAACTATTCACAAAAATTAAAGGATAAAAAAAATCCTAAATTTTTATGTGAGCTTCAAAAGGTTATAACTTTTCGAAAAATGGTCGTAGAGCAATCAAAACAAGCAAAACTGAAGCTTGAAGTTTTTATTATCAGGATTTGAGGGTAAAACGTTTATCATTGACCACTTTTTTGCCTCCCTCTCAAAAAGGTTCACGACTCACAATCATTTTTTTTCGCAACCCGACCTATGGTGTAGAAGATCTAAGCAGGGTTTTTAAATATACATTCGTACATTCTATAAAATGTTCTTATCGCTTTTCGATAAAAAAAAATCCATGCAAGTAATTTGATACAAGAAAAAGGTAACAATGTGCGTTTTTAAAGATTTTTCCTTGAACAAATTTGAAATAATATTACAAATAATGAGTAAACTAAGGATATTTTCTTTATATAAAGACATTTAAAACATCTTTTATTTTCTAAAACCCAATTATTATTTTTTTGTTTACATTCATTGTATTGATGGATATATTTTTTAAATTATTTCATAGAATAATTATTTTTAACGAATTCGTATAAAAGTTAAAGTTATTTTATATGAAACATAGAACGTGATAAGCTACGGATTCTTGTTTTTAAATAAAAAGAAATATGAATTTTTTGAGAAAAAGAGTATTGAGTGGGATAATTTAAATATCTTTCTGGAAAAGTTGTCTTGTAATACCAATCGGTAATATTTTCATTATTCTGATAATAGATTGGTCCATAGATGATATTTTATTACCTTTGTTATTCTTTAATCGTGAATTGCAGTCTTGGATAAAAATTATTAAAAACGTTCCAAATATCTTCAGTTCTGTTCAGGAAGAAAATGAAAATAAATTAATTATTAAATTTAAAATATTATTTTCCAGTGTATGTATATAATAACCCTTTATCAATGACCATCTATCTCTTGTTAACTGTTAGAAACTGTTAACTGTTTAACAAGTTCAAATGAACCCTTTACCTAATAATTGTTTTGTAAGAAAGCATTTTTCAATAATTACTATCATATTTTTATAATATTGTAAATGGCAAAGCCAACAAATTCCATTTTGTGACTTCACAACTGTTTAGAGAGCCTGATTCACCTAATTCTATAATAGTTTCTAATATTATTTAAAGCAAACTGTGCTATTTTTTATTTTGTTGTCCTCGTTGAGGCGAGGAATCACCCTACCAATATCCAAAACCCCTCCCCGGCGACATCCGCAAAAGTATTTAACAATATGCAGACGTTTTCAGTTAAACAGACCCCCACATTACAAACCGCCCTTGTTCCAGGTCAAGATATGGTTTCAGAATAGAAGGAGTAAATACAAGAAGATGATGAAGGCGGCGCAGGTTCCAGGGGGTACAAACAACAACGGCACGCCCGGTGGACACTCGGGACTGCTAGGTGCCAACGCCAACTTGCCCTCGACGAGTCCTGGTCCCCAAGGCCAGAACATGATGCAAGGTAGGATCAAACTGGAAGGTAAAAATTGTCTTTTATTGGATGAGTTTTATCTTAGTGCGGAAGCCGCGCGAACGGTATTTCGCTGAAGTGCGTCGTAATTAGATTTTTGTAGATGCGAATGTGAAAGCACAGTTTCTTACGATGACCGAAATAATCAACTTTGTGTGTAAGATGATTAATATCAGAGCTGTACAGGGTGTCCCATTTGAGACAGATCCTTTGGTGGCTCTGGTGATATTAGTGTTACCAGCAGCAACACTTAAATATTATCAGAGAAAGAAACATGCAAAAAGGGTGTAAATATAAATATCTGAATAATTAATGTAAATATTAGTCATAGTTTATATGGGACATTTTTTTAGTTTCTGTTAGATGGACTTTTTTGTATTATTTTTGTTAATCCTTTCTCAACATTGATAATTCGGTGAAAACATGCAGTGTTCATATAAATAAATAAATAAATAAATTTTATTATCTAATCTCACTAGCGCCACGGTAGCGCCCGTATTAAATGTGACACCCTGTATGCCACCTCGCAATTAAAATAATTAAAATAAAAGATGCACCCAATTCATAGCGTTAAAGAAATGTACCGTTAGTTAATCTATTTGCTACAAGATGCTTTCGAATGCAAGGAAAAAATATATTTTTAAAATATTTAGATACAAGTACCTATACAGATTATTAAATAAAACAATATATTGATGCCTGATATTATGTATGAGATTAAGTTTTTTCGCCACCATCTGTTGTAAAAGTTCTTGAATTTTTTTCCTTTGAAATCCGGTTTTTCCAACCAAGGGAATTCCAAGAATATGAATTTTTATATACAGACAAAACATTAATATACATTCAACTCGTTCAATTGTAACGTTGTTCACTTTGCCGTGCTTACTTTCTATTACGTCGTACTGTTTCCAATCGCATGAAAACCCATCCGTCAACTTGAGAGAAATTCGTTCAATTGTTCCAATTTCAATAGCGTCGGTATTACAAAAATGTATGAAGAAAACAGCTTTTAAACCATCAAATTTTAACTGATTTGATGAATAACTTCCCATTGAAGTTTTAAAATCATCCATAAATTATGTAACGCTACGAGTCAAAAATGAACTTTTTTTCTCGAACAACTTTAAGGATATTTTGTTGTACAGGGTGTTTTTGAAAAACGTACCCTAAATTCAGGGGCTGACAGAAAATTTGAAAATAAGATGATATTTTCCTAGCTAGGAAAAGTCCTAGCTGGGCAAAGACCCAGTGACATTTCATGACATATGTAATTAGTTAGGTTAGGTTTTTTACGGTGTATGTCGTATATTACAATGTAAAATTTGGGGATAATGGATGGGGATAATTGTGGGTAATTTTGGGGATAATTGAGGGTAATTTGCGAATTTGCTTGGGTCTCTACTGCGCATGAGTTTGAATTTTACCTTTGATTTTCAGTTTCCCTCTGATCTCAATCAATCCATCACTTCTGTTGATACATTGAAATCTGTGTCCTTTTTGTGTCTTTAGTTATTTGAATTTTCCATCAATTTGAAGTCTAGCTCTGATTATCAATTCAATTATCAATCTGCTATTGGTGATTCTAGTTCATAGCGGTTACCATTTTTTCTTAGAAAAGACGAAGAGTTAAATGTTAGGGGGAAAACTCAGACTTGAGCTTCCATTTTTGCCTGAAAAATTTTTCAAATCTGGCTAGAAAACCTTTTCCGTCAAAATTTGGTATATACTCTGCAATGTTGCTCCCCTAAAAAGTTATGTCAGTCTTAAAATGGGATTTTTTTTAGATCCGTAATATTTTAAACAAACAAAATTGATCTAAAATATTCTTGAAGCATGATATATTTGTTTCCACACGTCCTGTTCTTAAGGAATAGAACTTGACAACCACTTGCGTTTTTTTGAAAAACAATGCGATTCCACATATTTCAACAGAAGTACAGTTTTAAACCTAACCTCAAAAAAAGTTGTTATAAAATATCACTAGATAAGGTCATAATTGGCGATCTCTAGCAGATGGTCAAAAACTAACTGTACTAATGCATCTAGCACTCTCAAAATTTTACCCGTGTCAAATTTCATGCATTATGCCGTTGTTTTTAAGTATACAGGGCGTTTCTAAAATAGGGTTCCAAACTTCTGCTGCGTTTGACTCATTAAAATAAGCCAAAAAGTTCCTATTAAACTGTGCCCTAAAACGCACCCTTAGGATATGCCCTTAAAAGGGCTCAAACAAAACTGTTTTTTTTTTCAATACTTAAATTTTTCCACTCACCACTTTTACTAATTAAACACTGCAAAGCTCAATTGACAGTTTATCAATAACTTAAATTGTTAACCGTTGTGGCAACGTCAGTCTTTCATTTGCCATGGTAAACAGATTTTTGTAATTTTTTGCCTAATAACTTAAAGAGCAGAGTAATTTTCAAACTCAATTTACTCGAAAACCATTGGAAATATCGATTTGGACAAAGATAATATTTTTTACGTAAAATTGTTAAGTTTTTATAAATCTGTAGAGAAAATTGTAAAAAAATTGAAATAAAAAAAATTACTGGCCGAAAACCCCCTTCACCAACCTAAATGGGACGCATATGATTTGCATGTCGAAAAACGGAGTAGCCCATGTTATATAACGTAAAAAGTTATGTAAGACCCATAAATTTTTTTCTATTTATTTGCGACCGTTTTGTCAATAACAGAAAAAAACAGCTTTGTTTGAGCCGTTTTAAGGGCATATATGTAACTTCCTAAGGGTGCGTTTTCGAGCACATGTTAATAGGAATTTTTTGGCTAATTTTAATGAGTTATAAACGCAGCAGAAGTTTGGAACCCTATTTTAGAAACATCCTGTATACATAATTTGATTTTAAAAAATTGTTGACGACCGATATCTCAAGAACAAAATACGATATAAGATCTTTTTCTAAAACACCCAGTATAAACATTTGCCATTCAGGTCGTAAATGTTTTCAAAAAAGTTATATCTCTAAATATCTGAACAAATGAGTATATGGAAAAAAAAATTGCACAACATATGAATAAAATGGAAAATTTTTTTTAAATGTAAATCCAATTTTGAGTGCATGGCTTTTAGCATTGTGATACATATTAGAAAGTAATGATATGTACGTTCGACAAGTTGTAGTGTTGTAGCACTCAGTATATCATATCCACGCTGAAACCTACTGATGTATAAAAAAATGAATTTGGAATGTAATGTAACGCCTATATAAATTATCGAGGGTTTTTAAATGACAGCATAAAGAAATCATTGGGTAATAAATATCTTTTTATGTAATGTTTCATGGAAAATATTTTCCACACTCTATATATACCATCTTTGACCAAGATAGATTCAATAGAATGACAGTTATGCCTTATATAGATACACTCTAGCAAATAAGAAGGATTAAATATTTTTCACATAAGTCGATACAACTATAATAATAAAATATGAAAGGGTTATGAACAAATCCATCGTCTTGCCATAAAACCTAGATTAGAGGCGTTTGTTGAATTTTGGTTGGTAGTTTCAAGGTGCAAATTTTTAATGAAATTGAAATTCGCGGCAGGAATATGAAGCTGGTCTACTTTAAATTTTAGTTTAGGATGTTGATAAAATCTAAAACGGGGCGCGCCAAATTTCCATATTTAATAAATTTGTCTTCATTTCAAACATGCAGGATGTAGTTAAATACCATTTCAAATTCAGAATGTAGTTTCCTTATCACGAACAGTACGTACTAACTAATCAATTTAAAACTTTTTTCAGTACCGCTTTGAGAGTTATTTTAAATTTAAATTTTCTTAGAAAAATATACAGGGCGTAACTTTGAAAGGAGGTCATATTTGTATAGAAACATACATTTGCCCAAATTCCGTTGTGAAATAATCCAAACACAGCGCTTCAAAAAAATAGTAATAAACATTTTCTATTGAAAACTTATAATGCTTAATTTGTTTTCTATTGATTTTATCCAAAGGATGGCATCAAGAGCAACGCATATGAAAACCTATGATCATTACGATTTTCGTATCAACCGTGCTTCCGCACATCGTACTAGAAACCTTGATTTGAAAATGCAACGGAAATTATAAGTCGTAAAGTTGTTGCTTTTTATTGCCGTGATTCATTATGCAACGTTCCCACTGCTTAGTCCCATATTCTGTTAAATGTTCTGTTAATGAAGCGAGCTGTTATTAGCTGCAAAATTAATTCTTATGTTGCTTTCAACACAGTCTACTGAAACGGCATTTGGAAAAAATATTAATGGCATTTCATTCTAATGTTTCCGTTATCAATTCATAATCGTGATTGTAATTTGCTTCCTAGTAACAATGGATTTTAAGCGCATAGTAATTTAATAAACGATTCGGCATCTTTTATTAAAAATGTGTTGAGAAAATACAGAAACACAGATATAACACTTTTTTGTTATTTCAGCATTAATTATGTTAATAGTTATCCGTTTCCAGTTAAAAAATTTAACAATGATTTCACTTTCTTGTTTTAAAACCGAAGCTCCAGTTTGTTCAAAAGAATTTTAATTGACAGAGCAACAAAATGGAATAACTGAACCCTAACACGGTTGATAATATGAAATAATAAGTGAACATAAACTAAATAAAAAATAAGTAAATTTGGTTTGACATTGTTACAGCATGGATAAATTTCAAATATATTTCAATGTAAAATAATTTTCAGACAAGAAAAGGTGTAGCTTTAAAAAATTTGGAAATAAATGTGTTTATTCAGAAAACGGTACATTTCTAATCCAACGTTTATATAAACTTTTTTGTTCAGTTTTACCTGAGGAATGTCTTAAAATATGCCCTTTCGCACGGGGCACCCTATGTGCACAGAGAAAATATTTATTTATCGTAATCAAACGATTTATTATGCTGTAATAATCGTTTACCTATTTCAACTAAACGCAATGCTATTGTTACTAAACTTATACTTGTCGATAATATATCTTATTTTGGAGTCATACAGGGTGAATTTTAAA